TTGATGTACCCCCTGGCCCCTATTCTGGATAAGCGTGGCGGCTGCGCCTCTTCCCCCTGGCCCCCATTCTGGTTGAGGATAAGCGTGGCGGCTGCACCTCTTTGCCTGGCACCGGATAAGCGTGGCGGCTGTACCCCCTGGCCCCTCTTCTGGTTGAGGATAAGCGTGGCGGCTGCGCCTCTCTTTCGTGGCGCCCGCATTCTGCTTGAGGATGAGCGCCTGACAGGTTGAAGGGGGGAAGGTAGGGGGGTGGCGGGTAGGAGGGTGGGGGGTGGGTGGAGGGGGCGGGCGGGAGTGGGGTGGGGTTGGTGAGTTGCCAGCCTGAACCTGCGAACTCTCTGTGTGCCCTCCAACGAGTCCTCAGCTGCCTCAGCTGCCTCAGCTGCTGGTTCACAGGCAGGGGTTGGCAACACGGGTGGTGGCTGTGCATCCTGGGTCCATTGACCTTCCAAGAAGGCCTTGAACCCACCCCTCACTGGGTTTCTGGGTGTGCCTCCCCCCCTCTACCCGCCCCAAGGGGGTGTGGGGCAGGAGAGGGGGGTGGAAGGGGGGCAAGGGGGTGGGGGGGTCAGGGAACCCAACCCGCTGGGGTTTCCAACCCCCCATTTAGGTTGAGAATAAGGGTTGTGCAAGGGGGTGTGGGGGCAGGAGAGGGGGGATTAGGGTTTAGGGGTTTATAGAAATTGTATAGGGTTCAGGTCCCGAGTTTTGACCGAGTTTTGACAAAGTTTTTACCGAGTTTTGAGCGGGTTTTTGTTTTTGCTTTGTCATTTTGACTTTGGGAAGTGGCTGGGCTGGGCTGGGCTGGACCGGCTAGGGCTTGGGCATTCGGCTGGCGAAGTGGCTGGGCTGGGCTGGACATTGACCGGGCTGGTGGGCTGGGCCCTGGTGCGTAGGGGCTGAGGCGGGTGGGTCTAAAATCTGAAGGCAAGGAGGGTGGCGGGGGTTCAGGTCCCGAGTGGGCTTGGGCATTATTGGCTGGCTGAGCCCTTGATTGACCGGGCTGGGACTGGGGAAGGGGGCTCTGGGCTGGGCTGGGTGCTGCTGTTGCGGGGTTGGGGGCTGCTGGGCTGCTGGGCTGGGCCCTGGTGCGTAGGGGCTGAGACGGTTGGGTCTAAAATCTGAAGGCAAAGAGGGTGGCGGGATTTGGTTCAGCTTGCATTCGTCATGCGGCTCGCAGGTGAAATCCAGCCGGGGTTGGGTCCGGGGTTTCGACCGAAAGTTTTGAGCGAAACGTTTTGGGCGAAAGTTTTGGTTTTTGATTTGTGATTTCGCGCATTCCGGTTTTGACCGAAAGTTTTGGGCGAAAGTTTTGAGCGAAAGTTTTGGGAGGGTTTTGTTTTTTGACTTGAAAGGGCTAGGGGGTTGAAATTGTATAGGGTTTGGGTCCGAAGTTTTAGACGAAAGTTTTGAGCGAAGGTTTTGGGCGGGTTTTGTTTTTTGACTTGAAGTTTTCATTTTGGGCCGAGCTGGCTGGTGGGGGCTAGGGCTGGGCTGGGGGGCTGGATGGGCTGGGCGGGTCGGCTGCTGGGCTGGGCTGCTGTGGCTGGCTTGGGCTGGATTTGGTTGGACACGTTTAGCGAAAATTTGAAACTATTGCAACTGCAGATCGAAACGAAAATCACACAATCGGGGACAGACCGTCCCAGGTGAACTTCTCGTCGGCTTGGTAGCACTGCAGGATCTGAGCGGCTTCTCTCTCGATCTCTTGTGGCGGTTTCGCAGGACGCAGCCGGAGCAGCCGTGCCATGATGACGGCGATCAGGATGTCGGGCTGTCGGGCATGGCACGACAGGGTCATGAAGAATTTGGGCGCTCCGAGCTGCTCGTACATGTTGACCGCGACGCCCTTCTTTGCGAAGACGTACGAGCTGGTTCCAGGGATGTCCCGGAGAGCCGCGAACACTCGTCCTTTCCCGTCCTTGTACTTGGTCTTCTCGCTGGGGCCTTCCTGGCCTATCCTGACATTCACGTTGCCCGAGAGGCGCTTCTTGATGTGCATCTCCAGCAGCCACATGATGTAGCCGGCGGACGCCTCGAAGCGTGGGTCGAGATTCAGGAGACGCTTTCGCGCATATTGAGAGAAGCTGCCGTACTGGTCCTGCCACCCGCCCTGGCCGGTGGGAAACAGGTGCGGAAAGAGCTTCACGTCCATGTCGTCGCACATCGCTGATACGTCCCTGGCCTTTCGTAGCTCGTGTGTGTCGGCTCGGGGAGCCTTTAGCTCTTTGGGAAGCATGTATGTCACTTCGAGCTCTTCCGATTCTCTTTCGGCCGGTGACACAGGCGCTGCTGCTGCAGCATCGTCCTTGGCGGTGGGTGCTTTGCCATGGAGAATTGCAGCCATATCGTCCAGGGCTTTGTCCACAGCCGGGCTCGCCTGGTAGAGGCGGTGCTGGGATTTCAGCTGCCGCAAGGCTTGGTACAGGTGGTCGAGGCGGGCCGGCGAAGCGGTCATGCCTTGGACTCCCTCCACTAGGACCGTGCCATCTTCTTCGAGCGTTGCGCCATCCAGCACGTCGCAAATGAAAGGCTCGTCGACCAGCATTGCATACATGCGGCCCCACTGCGCACTTGGCCCGCCGGAAGGAAGCTTGTCAAGCAGGACTTGAGAGATTCGCGCCATGGCGAGCAGGTGATGCTCGATCGGCTGCAGGCTCTGGAGCGCTTCTGGGATGGGTGGTGAAGTGGGCAAGAAGATCTTGGTGACATTCTCCCGACAGTTCCTGCAGAGCATGTTGCCGGTTTGCTTCGCCGGCCTGCAATGCTTCGCGGTTGTGAGAGTGTGACATGCTTCACACACCCTGGACAATCCGAATCGACTCCAGCTTCGCGTAAAAGCCAAGTAGTGGGCTTGCGCTTGCTCCGAGGTCAGCACATCTTCATCCGGGAACGGGTAGCCCCGCTGTTGGGCCTCTGTGGCGATCGGCAAAGGACCACGGCTGCCCAGTCCTTCTTCTGCGCGTTGAGCTTGAAGTTGTCGTCCCTGCGCCCGCCTGCTGTCCTCCGTGGGTACAGGCCCGCGGCTGCCAAGTCCTTCTTCTGCGCGTTGAGCTTGAAGTTGTTGTCCCTGCGCCCGCCTGCGGTCCTCCGTGGGTACAGGCCCGCGGCTGCCAAGTCCTTCTTCTGCACGTTGAGCTTGAAGTTGTTGTCCCTGCGCCTGTCTGCTTTTCTCCGTGGGCAAAGGCCCGCGGCTGCCAAGTCCTTCTTCTGCGCGGTCAGCTTGAAGTTGTTGCCTCTGGGCCCGAGTGCTGTTTGCAACAGGCACAGGTCCACGGCTGCCCGCTCCTTGCGCAGCACGTTTCTGCTGTTGAGCACTCTTCTCCTCGCTCTTCCGGCGGAGGTTCTCCTCTTTCTGAGCTTCGCGGCACTGTCGATTGCTGCACCATCCTTTTCCTCGGCCTTGCATTGGCCAGCCACACCGTGGGCAAGGCGCCATCCTAACGAATTGCGATAAGGCGGTTCCTAAGCTCAGCTAAGGCTGTATCCGCACGGCTGCGATCAAATCTCAAGCATGTTCCATCAGCGAGCAAATTAATCAAACGAAGAACAGCACAAAATCTTTTCAGGAACAGGTGATTCCAGACTGGATCACCGTCTATTGAGTCTACAAGCCATGTCATTGACCGATGCAGGACTGAGATGCAACGACAGCTCAAACCGGCCGTGTCCAGACTGCCGTATCCCTTGCTGCAGCGCTCGCTCCTTTTTGCGTTTGTTGCTGCTCGCGTTTGGAGCTCTAGCGGTCTGTGGCTTGCTTTGACATGTAGACAACTTGCACGTCCACGACCTCGTCGTGGAAGCTGCGGTCCAGGAGTTCGCGCCAGCTCCAAGCGTCGCTGATCACGTCTCCGTCCAAAACCAGTTGCGTGCCTTCGATGGGAATGGGTCCTGCAGGACTGCTGTCCAAGTCCAACAGCAAGACCTCTCTGGTGCTGCGATGCTGCAGCGTTTCCGGCGGGATGGGCTTCATGGTCTTCTGAAATTTGACACGTAGTTCTTGCAGGGATAGGCTGCGATCGGGGTTGTTGCCCTCGTGCAGCTGGGCGAGCCAAGCTTCCCGGAAAGATCCGGGCGGTTCGAGTTGGCAGAGCAGGCGATAAGGCTTCGAGGAATGGATCTCGGCACCCTGCATGTTCAGGTACCTCACCGTCAGGTCAGCAAGACGCTCGCTGAACTCCCTCTGCATCTCCATCTCTTTGTTCCATCTTGTTCCTCCACGTGCATCTTCCTCGGCGTCGTGCTGCATTTCTGCGTCGACCCAGTCCCAACAGTCGAAAGGGTCCTCGCAGTCCTCCAGTTCGGAGCCCCGAATCGAGTGGTCTGAGCTTCTGGAACCTTCGCCCATGTTCTGGGACATCTCTGTTGCGCCGGTCGATCTCAGAAACAAGGGCCGTGGGCATGATCTTAGGCACTCGCTGTTGTGACGACTGAGATTCCAGCCGTAAGCGGCTACCTATAGGCCGAAGCTCGGACACAGAGCAGGACTACGACTCTTCACATTGAGCCCACGTGAGCGGAACTAGCTCGGCTTGTCATGCATAGCGAGCACTTGCACACATGTGTGCACTCGGTTGCAGAATAGACTTAATGGGGGAGTGTCATTAGAGCATGAGCAGGCACCTGGTACCCCATATTGGTTGAGGATAAGCGAGCCACTTCTGCATGCGAGCCCTCCGGCCTCGTCCCGTCTCTGTCTTTCTTCAGGTTGAAGATAAGCACCTGGTGCCCCATATTGGTTGAGGATAAGCGCACCACCTCTCCATGCGAGCCCTCCGGCCTTGTCCCTTGCCTTCGTCTTTTTTCAGGTTGAGTATAAGCACCTGGGAGACCATATTGGTTGAGGATAAGCAACCACTTCTGCATGCGCCTCCGTCTTCTTCAGGTTGAGAGGATAAGCGTGGCGGCTGCGCCTCTATCTGGTTGAGGCTAAGCGTGGCGGCTGCACCTCTTCGCCTGGCACCGGATAAGCGTGTATTCTGGTTGAGGATAAGCGTGGCGGCTGCGCCTCTTCCCCCTGGCCCCCCTTCTGGTTGAGGATAAGCGTGGCGGCTGCACCTCTTCGCCTGGCACCGGATAAGCGTGTATTCTGGTTGAGGATAAGCGTGGCGGCTGCGCCTCTTCCCCCTGGCCCCCATTCTGGTTGAGGATAAGCGTGGCGGCTGCACCTCTTCACCTGGCACCGGATAAGCGTGGCGGCTGTACCCCCTGGCCCCTATTCTGGTTGAGGATAAGCGTGGCGGCTGCGCCTCTTCCCCCTGGCCCCCATTCTGGTTGAGGCTAAGCGTGGCGGCTGCACCTCTTCGCCTGGCACCGGATAAGCGTGGCGGCTGTACCCCCTGGCCCCTATTCTGGTTGAGGATAAGCGTGGCGGCTGCGCCTCTTCCCCCTGGCCCCCATTCTGGTTGAGGATAAGCGTGGCGGCTGCACCTCTTCGCCTGGCGCCGGATAAGCGTGGCGGCTGTACCCCCTGGCCCCTATTCTGGATAAGCGTGGCGGCTGCGCCTCTTCCCCCTGGCCCCCATTCTGGTTGAGGATAAGCGTGGCGGCTGCACCTCTTCGCCTGGCACCGGATAAGCGTGGCGGCTGTACCCCCTGGTCCTTATTCTGGTTGAGGATAAGCGTGGCGGCTGCGCCTCTTCCCCCTGTCCCCCATTCTGGTTGAGGATAAGCGTGGCGGCTGCACCTCTTCGCCTGGCACCGGATAAGCGTGGCGGCTGCACCCCCTGGCCCCTATTCTGGCTGAGGATCAGCATTCTGGTTGAGGATAAGCGTGGCGGCTGCACCTCTTCGCCTGGCACCGGATAAGCGTGGCGGCTGTACCCCCTGGCCCCAATTCTGGTTGAGGATAAGCGTGGCGGCTGCGCCTCTTCCCCCTGTTCTGGTTGAGGATAAGCGTGGCGGCTGCACCTCTTCGCCTGGCACCGGAAAAGCGTGGCGGTAAGCGTGGCGGCTGCGCCTCTTCCCCCTGGCCTGGCACTGGATAAGCGTGGCGGCTGTACCCCCTGACCCCTATTCTGGTTGAGGATAAGCGTGGCGGCTGCACCTCTTCCCCCTGGCCCCCATTCTGGTTGAGGATAAGCGTGGCGGCTGCACCTCTTCGCCTGGCACCCGGCTGCGCCTCTTCCCCCTGGCCCCCATTCTGGTTGAGGATAAGCGTGGCGGCTGCATCTCTTCGCCTGGCACCGGATAAGCGTGGCGGCTGTACCCCCTGGCCCCTATTCTGGTTGAGGATAAGCGTGGCGGCTGCGCCTCTTGTTGTGGCTTCCGCATTCTGCTTGAGGATGAGCGCCTGACAGGTTGAAGGGGGGAAGGTAGGGGGGCGGCGGGTAGGAGGGTGGGGGGTGGGGGGAGGGGGCCCGGGGGGGCGGGAGTGGGGTGGGGGTTGGGGGGAACCCAACCCCGGATAAGCGTGGCGGCTGCACCTCTTCGCCTGGCACTTCGCCTGGCACCGGATAAGCGTGGCGGCTGTACCCCCTGGCCCCTATTCTGGTTGAGGATAAGCGTGGCGGCTGCGCCTCTTCCCCCTGGCCCCTATTCTGGTTGAGGATAAGCGCGGCGGCTGCGCCTCTTCCCCCTGGCCCCCATTCTGGTTGATGCACCCCTGGCACCGGATAAGCGTGGCGGCTGTACCCCCTGGCCCCTATTCTGGTTGAGGATAAGCGTGGCGGCTGCGCCTTTTGCCCCTGGCCCCCATTCTGGTTGAGGATAAGCGTGGCGGCTGCACCTCTTCGCCTGGCACCGGATAAGTGTGGCGGCTGTACCCCCTGGCCCCTATTCTGGTTGAGGATAAGCGTGGCGGCTGCACCTCTTCGCCTGGCACCGGATAATAAGCGTGGCGGCTGTACCCCCTGGCCCCTATTCTGGTTGAGGATAAGCGTGGCGGCTGCACCTCTTCGCCTGGCACCGGATAAGCTTGGCGGCTGTACCCCCTGACCCCTATTCTGGTTGAGGATAAGCGTGGCGGCTGCGCCTCTTCCCCCTGGCCCCCCTTCTGGTTGAGGATAAGCGTGGCGGCTGCACCTCTTCGCCTGGCACCGGATAAGCGTGGCGGCTGCTATTCTGGTCGAGGATAAGCGTGGCGGCTGCGCCTCTTCCCCCTGGCCCCCATTCTGGTTGAGGATAAACGTGGCGGCTGCACCTCTTCGCCTGGCGCCGGATAAGCGTGGCAGCTGTACACCCTGGCCCCTATTCTGGTTGAGGATAAGCGTGGCGGCTGCGCCTCTATCTGGTTGAGGCTAAGCGTGGCGGCTGCACCTCTTCGCCTGGCACCGGATAAGCATGTATTCTGGTTGAGGATAAGCGTGGCGGCTGCGCCTCTTCCCCCTGGCCCCATTCTGGTTGAGGATAAGCGTGGCGGCTGCACCTCTTCGCCTGGCACCGGATAAGTGGCGGCTGCGCCTCTTCCCCCTGGCCCCCATTCTGGTTGAGGATAAGCGTGGCGGCTGCACCGGATAAGCGTGGCGGCTGTACCCCCTGGCCCCTATTCTGGTTGAGGATAAGCGTGGCGGCTGTGCCTCTTCCCCCTGGCACCCATTCTGGTTGAGGATAAGCGTGGCGGCTGCACCTCTTCGCCTGGCACCGGATAAGCGTGGCGGCTGCTATTCTGGTCGAGGATAAGCGTGGCGGCTGCACCTTTTCGCCTGGCACCGGATAAGCGTGGCGGCTGTACCCCCTGGCCCCTATTCTGGTTGAGGATAAGCGTGGCGGCTGCGCCTCTTCCCCCTGGCCCCCATTCTAGTTGAGGATAAGCGTGGCGGCTGCACCTCTTCGCCTGGCACCGGATAAGCGTGGCGGCTGTACCCCCCGCACCCCAATTCTGGTTGAGGATAAGCGTGGCGGCTGCGCCTTTTGCCCCTGGCCCCCATTCTGGTTGAGGATAAGCGTGGCGGCTGCACCTCTTCGCCTGGCACCGGATAAGCGTGGCGGCTGTACCCCCTGGCCCCTATTCTGGTTGAGGATAAGCGTGGCGGCTGCGCCTCTATCTGGTCGGCTGCACCTCTTCGCCTGGCACCGGATAAGCGTGGCGGCTGTACCCCCTGGCCCCCATTCTGGTTGAGGATAAGCGTGGCGGCTGCACCTCTTCGCCTGGCCGGATAAGCGTGGCGGCTGTACCCCCTAGCCCCTATTCTGATTGAGGATAAGCGTGGCGGCTGCACCTCTTCGCCTGGCACCGGATAAGCGTGGCGGCTGTACCCCCTGCCCCCTATTCTGGTTGAGGATAAGCGTGGCGGCTGTGCCTCTTCCCCCTGGCCCCCATTCTGGTTGAGGATGAGCGTGGCGGCTGCACCTCTTGCCTGGCACCGGATAAGCGTCATTCTGGTTGAGGATAAGCGTGGCGGCTGCACCTCTTCGCCTGGCACTGGATAAGCGTGGCCGCTGTACCCCCTGACCCCTCTTCTGGTTGAGGATGCCCCCATTCTAGTTGAGGTAAGCGTGGCGGCTGCACCTCTTCGCCTGGCACCGGATAAGCCCTATGCTGGTTGAGGATAAGCGTGGCGGCTGCGCCTCTTCCCCCTGGCCCCCATTCTGGTCGCCTGGCACCGGATAAGCGTGGCGGCTGTACCCCCTGGCCCCTATTCTGGATAAGCGTGGCGGCTGCGCCTCTTCCCCCTGGCCCCCATTCTGGTTGAGGATAAGCGTGGCGGCTGCACCTCTTTGCCTGGCACCGGATAAGCGTGGCGGCTGTACTCCCTGGCCCCTCTTCTGCTTGAGGATAAGCGTGGCGGCTGCGCCTCTCTTTCGTGGCTTGCCCGCATTCTGCTTGAGGATGAGCGCCTGACAGCTGGGCTGCTGGGCTGGGCCCTGGTGCGTAGGGGCTGAGACGGTTGGGTCTAAAATCTGAAGGCAAAGAGGGTGGCGGGATTTGGTTCAGCTTGCCTGCGTCATGCGGCTCGCAGGTGAAATCCAGCCGGGGTTGGGTCCGGGGTTTCGACCGAAAGTTTTGAGCGAAACGTTTTGGGCGAAAGTTTTGGTTTTTGATTTGTGATTTCGCGCATTCCGGTTTTGACCGAAAGTTTTGGGCGAAAGTTTTGAGCGAAAGTTTTGGGAGGGTTTTGTTTTTTGACTTGAAAGGGCTAGGGGGTTGAAATTGTATAGGGTTTGGGTCCGAAGTTTTAGACGAAAGTTTTGAGCGAAGGTTTTGGGCGGGTTTTGTTTTTTGACTTGAAGTTTTCATTTTGGGCCGAGCTGGCTGGTGGGGGCTAGGGCTGGGCTGGGGGGCTGGATGGGCTGGGCGGGTCGGCTGCTGGGCTGGGCTGCTGTGGCTGGCTTGGGCTGGATTTGGTTGGACACGTTTAGCGAAAATTTGAAACTATTGCAACTGCAGATCGAAACGAAAATCACACAATTTCTATTTATCCTGCTCTTGAGGGTTTAGGGTTTAGGGTTTAAGGGTTTAGGGTTTAGGGTTTAGGGTTTAGGGTTTAGGGTTTAGGGTTTAGGGTTTAGGGTTTAGGGTTTAGGGTTTAGGGTTTAGAGAAATTGTTAAGGGTTTGGGTCCCAAAAACTTTTTGACCGAAAGTTTTGAACGAAACGTTTTGAACGAAACGTTTTGACCGAAAGTTTTTTTTTGCGAACCATGTTTCCCAATTTCTTGGGGGCTGCGAAATGTTTTGAACGAAACTTTGGAGCGAGACGTTTTGACCGTCTTGGGGCTGGGGCGGGGGCTGAGGCTGGAGGCGGGGGCTGGTCTTTCAAATTTGTTGGGGGCTGCGAAACGTTTCGAGCGAAACTTTTGAGCGAGACGTTTTGACCGTCCTGGGGCTGGGGCTACGGGGGGGGGGGGGCGGCCACGAAATTGATTCAGTGCAAAAGTTGCAGATACCAGTAGCATCATTGTGACTTTCAAGTCGCATAAACAAGTTCACGCGGCAACGTATGTACTCGGTGTCAACATCGAACGCGAATACTGCGAAACGTTTCGAACGAAACCTTTGTGCGAGACGTTTTGACTGCCCTGAGGTTGGGGCTACGCGGGGGGGGGCTGCTCCTGGCCTTTCGTGGCCTGCTCCTGGCCTTTCGTGGCCTGCTCCTGGCCTTTCGTGGCCTGCTTCTGGCCTTTCGTGGCCTGCTCCTGGCCTTTTGTGGCTTGCTCCTGGTCTTTCGTGGCCTGCTCCTGGCCTTTCGTGGCCTGCTCCTGGCCTTTCGTGGCCTGCTTCTGGCCTTTCGTGGCCTGCTCCTGGCCTTTCGTGGCCTGCTCCTGGCCTTTCCTGGCCTGCTCCTGGCCTTTCGTGGCCTGCTCCTGGCCTTTCGTGGCCTGCTCCTGGCCTTTCGTGGCCTGCTCCTGACCTTTCGTGGCCTGCTCCTGGCCTTTCGTGGCCTGCTCCTGGCCTTTCGTGGCCTGGTCCTGGCCTTTCGTGGCCTGCTCCTGGCCTTTCGTGGCCTGCTCCTGGCCTTTCGTGGCCTGGTCCTGGCCTTTCGTGGCCTGCTCCTGGCCTTTCGTGGCCTGCTCCTGGCCTTTCGTGGCCTGCTCTTGGCCTTTCGTGGCCTGCTCTTGGCCTTTCGTGGCCTGCTCCTGGCCTTTCGTGGCCTGCTCCTGGCCTTTCGTGGCCTGCTCCTGGTCTTTCGTGGCCTGCTCCTGGCCTTTCGTGGCCTGCTCCTGGCCTTTCGTGGCCTGCTCCTGGCCTTTCGTGGCCTGCTCCTGGCCTTTCGTGGCCTGCTCCTGGCCTTTCGTGGCCTGCTCCTGGCCTTTCGTGGCTTGCTCCTGGCCTTTCGTGGCCTGCTCCTGGCCTTTCGTGGCCTGCTCCTGGCCTTTCGTGGCCTGCTCCTGGCCTTTCGTGGCCTGCTCCTGGCCTTTCGTGGCCTGCTCCTGGCCTTTCGTGGCCTGCTCCTGGCCTTTCGTGGCCTGCTTCTGGCCTTTCGTGGCCTGCTCCTGGCCTTTCGTGGCCTTTCGTGGCCTGCTCCTGCCTTTTCGTGGCCTGCTCCTGGCCTTTCGTGGCCTGCTCCTGGCCTTTCTTTCGTGGCCTGCTCTTGGCCTTTCGTGGCCTTTCGTGCCGCTCCTGGCCTTTCGTGGCCTGCTCCTGGCCTTTCGTGGCCTGCTCCTGGCCTTTCGTGGCCTGCTCCTGGCCTTTCGTGGCCTGCTCTTGGCCTTTCGTGGCCTGCTCCTGGCCTTTCGTGGCCTGCTCCTAGCCTTTCGTGGCCTGCTCCTGGCCTTTCGTGGCCTGCTCCTGGCCTTTCGTGGCCTGCTCCTGGCCTTTCGGCCTGCTCCTGGCCTTTCGTGGCCTGCTCCTAGCTTTTCGTGGCCTGCTCCTAGCCTTTCGTGGCCTGCTCCTGGCCTTTCGTGGCCTGCTCCTGGCCTTTCGTGGCCTGCTCCTGGCCTTTCGTGGCCTGCTCCTGGCCTTTCGTGGGCTGCTCCTGGCCTTTCGTGTGGCCTGCTCCTGGCCTTTCGTGGCCTGCTCCTGGCCTTTCGTGGCCTGCTCCTGGCCTTTCGTGGCCTGCTTCTGGCCTTTCGTGGCCTGCTCCTGGCCTTTGGTGGCTTGCTCCTGGTCTTTCGTGGCCTGCTCCTGGCCTTTCGTGGCCTGCTCCTGGCCTTTCGTGGCCTGCTTCTGGCCTTTCGTGGCCTGCTCCTGGCCTTTCGTGGCCTGCTCCTGGCCTTTCGTGGCCTGCTCCTGGCCTTTCGTGGCCTGCTCCTGGCCTTTCGTGGCCTGCTCCTGGCCTTTCGTGGCCTGCTCCTAGCCTTTCGTGGCCTGCTCCTAGCCTTTCGTGGCCTGCTCCTGGCCTTTCGTGGCCTGCTCCTGGCCTTTTTCGTGGCCTGCTCCTGGCCTTTCGTGGCCTGCTCCTGGCCTTTCGCGGCCTGCTCCTGGCCTTTCGTGGCCTGCTCTGGCCTTTCGTGGCCTGCTCCTGGCCTTTCGTGGCCTGCTCCTGGCCTTTCGTGGCCTGCTCCTAGCCTTTCGTGGCCTGCTCCTGGCCTTTCGTGGCTTGGATTTGAACCTGGATTTGGGGCCTGGGGCCTGGTCAATTTGGGGGCTGGATTTGGGGCCTGGTGCCTGGATTTGGGACTGAGCCTGGATTTGGGGTCTGGAGCCTGGATTTTGGATTTGGGATTGGATTTGGGGTCTGGAGCCTGGATTTGGGCATGGGGCCTGGAGTTGGGGCCTGGCCTGGAATTGTGACTGGAGCTTGGATTTGGGGTCTGAACCCTGGATTTGGGGGCTTGGATTTGGGGGTCTGGAGCCTGGGGCTGGGGCCTGGATTTGGGGCCTGGGGCCTGGATTTGGGATTGGGCGTGGATTTGGGGTGGGCCTGGATTTGGGGTCTAGAGCCTGGATTTGGGACTGGGCTTGGGGCTGGATTTCGAAGCTTGGATTTGGGGTGGGCCTGGGGGCCTGGGGTCTGGGGCCTGGGCTTGGAGGGCCTGGTGCTTGGACCTGGATTTGGGGGATTGGAAAGTGGGCCTGGGTTGGAGGTTATGGAGAAATTGGTTTATCAAGAAGCTTGTTCCGTTTTTGATCGGGTGGCTGTTTTGAGTTGGTTGGGGTGAGTTAATGGTTGAAGTTGTGGTTGTGCGAAATTGGATTATCAAGAAGCTAACGCCAGTTTTATCCGAAATGCTGGGCCTTAGCGGTGGTTACAAACAAGGACAAGCAATTTCTATTTATCACTTTCTTGAGGGTTTAGGGTTTAGGGTTTAGGGTTTAGGGTTTATAGAAATTGTTAAGGGTTTGGGTCCCAAAAACGTTTTGAACGAAACGTTTTGAACGAAACGTTTCGCCGAAACGTTTTGAACGAAACGTTTTTTTTTGCGAACCATGTTTCCAAATTTCTTGGGGGCTGCGAAATGTTTTGAACGAAACTTTGGAGCGAGACGTGTTGACCGTCTTGGGGCTGAGGCTGGGGCTGGTCTTTCGTGGCCTGCTCTTGACCTTTCGTGGCCTGCTCTTGGCCTTTCGTGGCCTGCTCCTGGCCTTTCGTGGCCTGCTCCTGGCCTTTCGTGGCCTGCTCCTGGTCTTTCGTGGCCTGCTCCTGGCCTTTCGTGGCCTGCTCCTGGCCTTTCGTGGCCTGCTCCTGGCCTTTCGTGGCCTGCTCCTGGCCTTTCGTGGCCTGCTCCTGGCCTTTCGCGGCCTGCTCCTGGCCTTGTCGGTGGCCTGCTCCTGGGCCTTTCGTGCCTGCTCCTGCCTTTCGTGGCCTCTCTGGCTTTTTATTCGTGGCCTGCTCCTGGCCTTTCGTGGCCTGCTCCTGGCCTTTCGTGGCCTGCTCCTTGCTTTTCGTGGCCTGCTCCTGGCCTTTCGTGGCCTGCTCCTGGCCTTTCGTGGCCTGCTCCTGGCCTTTCGTGGCCTGCTCCTGGCCTTTCGTGGCCTGCTCCTGGCCTTTCGTGGCCTGCTCCTGGCCTTTCGTGGCCTGCTCCTTGCCTTTCGTGGCCTGCTCCTGGCCTTTCGTGGCCTGCTCCTGGCCTTTCGTGGCCTGCTCCTGGCCTTTCGTGGCCTGCTCCTGGCCTTTCGTGGCCTGCTCCTGGCCTTTCGTGGCCTGCTCCTCGCCTTTCGTGGCCTGCGCCTGGCCTTTCGTGGTCTGCCCTGGCCTTTTCGTGGCCTGCTCCTGCCTTTCGTGGCCTGCTCCTTGCCTTTCGTGGCCTTCTCCTGGCCTTTCGTGGCCTGCTCCTGGCCTTTCGTGGCCTGCTCCTGGCCTTTCGTGGCCTGCTCCTGGCCTTTCGTGGCCTGCTCCTGGCCTTTCGGGGCCTGCTCCTGGCCTTTCGTGGCCTGCTCCTGGCCTTTCGTGGCCTGCTCCTGGCCTTTCGTGGCCTGCTCCTGGCCTTTCGTGGCCTGCTCCTGGCCTTTCGTGGCCTGCTCCTGGCCTTTCGTGGCCTGCTCCTGGCCTTTCGTGGCCTGCTCCTGTCCTTTCGTGGCCTGCTCCTGTCCTTTCGTGGCCTGCTCCTGGCCTTTCGTGGCCTGCTCCTGGCCTTTCGTGGCCTGCTCCTGGCCTTTCGTGGCCTGCTCCTGGCCTTTCGTGGCCTGCTCCTGGCCTTTCGTGGCCTGCTCCTGGCCTTTCGTGGCCTGCTCTTGGCCTTTCGTGGCCTGCTCTTGGCCTTTCGTGGCCTGCTCCTGGCCCTTCGTGGCCTGCTCCTGGCCTTTCGTGGCCTGCTCCTGGTCTTGCGTGGCCTGCTCCTGGCCTTTCGTGGCCTGCTCCTAGCCTTTCGTGGCCTGCTCCTGGCCTTTCGTGGCCTGCTCCTGGCCTTTCGTGGCCTGCTCCTGGCCTTTCGCGGCCTGCTCCTGGCCTTTCTGGCCTGCTCCCGGCCTTTCGTGGCCTGCTCCTGGCCTTTCGTGGCCTGCTTCTGGCCTTTCGTGGCCTGCTCCTGGCCTTTCGTGTCCTTTCGTGGCCTGCTCCTGCCTTTTCGTGGCCTGCTCCTGGCCTTTCGTGGCCTGCTCCTGGCGTTTCGTGGCCTGCTCCTGGCCTTTCGTGGCCTGCTCCTGGCCTTTCGTGGC